TTCGCGGCGTTTCTAAAAACGCCGCCTATTCTAATATCGCGACGTTCTTAAAACGTCGTAAAGATACAGCGACGGCCGCAGCTTCGACGTTTGGTACTAAACGTCGCAAAAGGAATTAGCGGCGTTTTTGAAAGATATAGCGGCGTTTATTAAACGCCACTAAAAGTCTATTTTCCAGCAGTGAGTGACTTATTGATTCTATATTTTAGATGAAATTATATAACGTAAATTACATTGACTCCCTAAAGATTGGTAAAAATATAATAAGTTTTATAGTTTTGATATGATTATATTGATTTCTTTTTTAGTAAGACTAAAAAAATCAGAATTAGTGTAGATGGTATAAAGACACTAAGAGGGTAATTTGTGTAGCTAAATTGGGCTAAGTTAGATGGAAGTGACTTTGAGGCTTGGGCCGCAAGTTGGGCCGAGCTATGCCTTGGGAAGAGCTTAACTTGGACCGAACAGTAGATGGAACCGGTCAAAGAAGTTTGACCGAACAACCAAAATGCCCATATTCTTGAACTTAGCTACTTTCTAAGGGCGGTTAACACCTTGACTGAGCTATAAGGGAAGACGGTCAAATAGACTGAGAATGGAGATATTGATCGAGCTAGGAGAAGAGCCGCGCAATGTCAGCACGGTGGCTCACCGTGCAAGCTATATATGGCGCTGTGTGTAGCATAGTTGAGCCTATGGCAAACAGAGTTAAGTAGTTCGGTTGCTTGGGTGGAAGCCGTGCAAAGAGTTGTCATTTCACTTGGCTTGTAGTGAAGAGGATATCAAAAGATGTATATTATCTTTTAGAAGTGTGATTCTTATGAGGACTCTACAAAAGAAAGTAATAGTTCTACTAGGATTGTGCCATGCAAAATCGACAAAAACTCAAACCAAATTTTAATCTCTGGTATTGCAATTCTTACTTCCAAATTCATAGAGCTTTTACTTACTTGGTCTACTTGCTGACTTAAGCATTTGAGGAGTTTCCAGCACACAATCGCTGGATAGCTCACGTTTGTGATTTCAGGTATTACGATGACGTTTGGAGGAGCACAAATTTGATCAACAATATTATACAAATGAGGATTATTTCGTACTCGTACAGACACAAACATAAAGAGGATAAAATATATACTTTAATATAGAAAATATAATAACGCTATTTTTTTTTTATAGATACAACTAACAAATTATTGATAAAAATTAATTAAGTATTATGAGAATTAAAATTTTGCAGAGATCTCAATATGATTATTTTAAAATTATATAATTTATTATATTTTTTTAAATCTTAAAAAAAATTAATATTTACCCAATTACTGTTCCGCACTACATTCCATTTTCATTCCACTCATAGCGGAGGTAAGTATCTATGTTTTTACATATTAAGGCCTTGTTTGGGAACATGCTAATTTAGTAACTTTCTGGCTATTTGGCTAAAATATGAGCTAAAAAAAACTAGTATGTTTGGGATGACTTTTTGACTTTTTACGAAAAGATGTGCAAAAAGTAGAGAGAAAAGAGAACCTTTGACTTTTTAGTATGAGTTGTTGGCTTTTTGACTAATTTAGTAACTTTTTAACTTTTTGACTAAAAAGAAGGGTTTCCAAATGAGGCCTAAGTGCACTATTGAATTGTTCTTAGGTAAAAAGACAAACAACAATGATAGAGACTACTAATTTTGGAGCTCTAAAAAGACCACTAATGATATGACACTCAATAAAAAAGAAAAAAAATACAACACCAAGACCAAAATATCAAATCATTCATGGTGGGACCTACTGCCACATCATTAGTGGGAGCACTAATTAGTGGGGGCACTAATCATTCATGGTGGGACCCACTGATCACCTTTTGAAGATAAAAACAAAAAAATAAAAATAAAAATAAAAACAAAAATACATTTATGTATTTGTATTTTTTTGTCTTTAACATTTGTTTAAACTTCTTAAATTCATTTAATAGATACATCTAAAAAATTTAATACCCACCATAAAAGTTGTGTAATCTTACAAGCATTGATCTACTCGGGAATTAAATAAAAATTTAAAAAAACAAAGCGAGAGGATAAATAAAATATAATTAATTTCACTCATCATTTTCTTTTCTCTTTTCAAATCACTAATTAAATTCATAATCTAAATTATGTTTTCAATAGACCACACAATGTAATTGTACAAGAGCAACTCTACTTAAACCTTGAAAACTTTGTATGCCAAATTTGTTAGTTGACATATAAAAACTTGACAAATTTGAAAAGAAACACTCCATTCCACTGTGCCAAACTTAATATTTTATTACATTTACTTTGAATTTTTTTTTTAAATATTTTCTTGAACACATTTATGAATTCAAATTTGACAACTTGAGTAAAGATTACTCTGATGCGTTGAAGAACGTCAGGTTATTGTTTTACTATACTCAAGATAAGAAAATGCTATAAAAAAAAAAAATTACAAACTTTTCTTACAAACTAATGTGATATAGAGTGATACAACTTTGAAACGTGAAATGAGGTTAACTTACTAATATTTTAAGTGACACATCAGTTTGTAAAAAAAATTTATTTGTACAATATATTACTTCTTAAGATACACTCCAGTCTCTATGACAACAACTCTATTGTCCATCCATCCATGATTACCAATAAGAAGCACACTTTTAATAACATCTCCAATGGTATTTGTTAAAATAGCATTACTATTATTATATAATCTGGTAATGAATAGTATTATTTTGTCAAATTATATCAATAGTGCTTCAATGGTCATTTGCTATTTTGGCAAATCTTAACCAATTTTTCCTCCAAATTTGTTGGTATTGTTTTGATATAGGTTTTCTAGTGATTTTTTTAATGTTTATTTTTTATTTTTGTGACCTTTTTTTAATTGTTTAAAAAAAATAATTTATTTACATTATTCCTAACTAGACAAAGAAAAAAAATGAAAAAATATATATATATATATATAATTCACCCCCACCAAATTTCATAACACTACCCACAAAAAAAAAAAAAATTAAACCAAATTTCATACTTATTTTTCAATTTTTGTTTTTTTGTTTTTATTTGGCAAACAGAGCACAACGGCTCTTTTCATTTCGAATGCAGATCACCACCGTCCACCCAGCAAGTCTCCAACGGTGGAATCATCTCAACCCATTCGCAGACCTTCATTAGTCTGTCTTCCTCCCTCTCCCTCTCAGTCTGACTCTGACTCTCCTTTTTCCTCCTCCATCATCGAAACCCCTCTCTCTCTCTCTCTCTCTCTCTTCTGCAACCAATTCGAGTAATCTCCGAGCCTATACTCCTTATACCCCTTCCCAGAGATCACCTCTCAAGCCCCTTGTTTGTGACCACGAATACTTAGATGGTGAAGCAGAAGAGAATGACGATGAGGAGGAAGATAGCCAAGAGGTAGACCCAGAGAAGCCATGAGACGCGACAGCACACGCCGATGAGTCCAGCCAGAGAGACCACCATGAGGAAGACACCCAGAATGATGACTGGCTTTGTTAAGAACTTCTCGCTCTCGCTTGCGCCATGGTGGCCCAGCCATACTCCAGCCCATTGCGTCAAACCGATCACCGATCTCCAAAACCACTCTTCTTTCTCTCACTGTCCTCAAACCAGTCGGCTGAAGAAGAAGCCCTAGAGGTCGATCCAGGTATTTATCATCTTCGTCTATGAAATTTATATAAATTTGTGAAATTGATTTTGAAATTTGTGTGATTCTAAAATTCTCAAATTTATTCTGAAATTTGTGAAATTTATTCTGAAATTGTGAAATTGATTGTGAAATTTGTTCTGAAATTTGTGAATTTGGCAACTCCTTTGAAAATTGGGTTTGATTCTTAAATTTGAGAGGTTTTATACTGTTTCAATTATGTTTTTTCAACTGAATTTGGAGCAAAAAATCTGTTGATATTTGCTGATGTGGCATGTTTGGCAGCTGCCATTCAACCTGCCAAATTTGAGAACAGAAATGGCATCTGCCATCTTTGGCAAGTATAATAGTAGGCCATTGGAGAACCCATTTTGGCCCAAGCTGCTATATTTTGGCAATAACAGGTGTTTTAGCAATCCATTGGAGATGCTAACATATCCTAATCAATCAATCTCTCTCTCTCTCTCTCTCTCTCTCTCTCTCTCAATTTCTAACAAGCAGGCCACTCTAACTTATCTCAATCTCTCTCTTTCTCTCTAAATTTCTAACAAGCAGGTTGTAACTGTTGAAATAATAAAAAAGGTCCACTAACAATAACCAGCTATGAAGCAGCAAAGATTAAAATTCTTTATATACTAACACCACGATATAACACAAAGTGTGTTACAAAAATGAGAGAATATTTTCAAAAGTTGAGAGTCATCTTCTCCACTTCACTTCTTTGGCAAAGCTAGTTCTGTGATGCTTGCCAAGAATGCAGCTTTCACAGACTTCATTAGTATAAGTAATATGAGGGAGCCCTTTCACCATATTCTTGCTTGACAATAGCTTCAAGCTTCCAAAGTTGAGATGTCCAAACCTCAAATGCCATAGCCAATCTTTGTCTTTGATGATGGCACTTGGACACTTCGCAGCATCATGTTGGATGTTCAATGCAAACATCCGATTCTTGGACATTCTCACCGGAGCGATCAAATTACCATGATTGTCTTTGATGGTAAGATGACAATCTTTCATGCTGATGTCGTATCCTTTCTCTAGGAGTTGTTCCATACTCAAAATGTTGTTCTTCATGGCAGAAACATAATAAACATTAGAGATGTAATCATGATCTCCATTCTTGAGCTTTATCAGAATATTGCCTCTTCCTTTCACTGGAGTTTTTGAAGAATCACCAAATGAGACTTGTGCTTGTACAGTCTCGTCAAGCTCAACGAACAACTCTCTTTTACCATACATGTGATTACTGGCTCCCGAATCTAGATACCAAATATTGTTTTGGTTTTCAGTGTCTCTATGGTGGACAAACAGGACTGTAGTTCCAACTTTGTTTGTTTCCTGCTAGGCAAAATTTGACTGAACATTGCTTCTGTCAACTCCTGTTCGGTTGTTGTAACCGTCTCCTCTTCCTCTTGCTTTTCCTCTTGGAACATTGTTTTTGTCAAACCTGAACTTCGGTTATTGTAACCACGACCTCTTCCTCGGCTTCTTTGGGATGTCCCCCCTTGCTCGTTTATGTTATCTCTGAAAGATAGCTTTGATTGAGGAGCTTGCTCTAGGGAACTTGAGAGAGTCTTCTTATTGATCCTTTGTTCATGAATCTCAAGTGTGCCCATCAACTCATCGGTGGTCATCCTTGGACTCTTCTATTGCTACAACCACGTGCTCAAACTTGGGACTGAGTGATCGTAGAATCTTCTCTATTCGTTTTTGGTGATCTAATAGTGCTTTTCAACTATTTAGAGTATTCCGGACACATCTGTATGGTCAGAATTTGCAAATTACATTCGAAAAATTTTTAAATTTATAAAGACAACTAATGGCCAGCATGTTGGCACATAAATTTTAAACCAAATTTATGTTTAAATTTCAAATACAGTCAATGACACACATAGAGCCTACGATAAGATTGTTGTAGGCAATCACTTCCCAAAATGATTAACTTGCTCCGTTGAAGTGTATAAATAAAACAACGTCGTATCTTAACGACATTATTCAAGATGCTCAAATGACACGTGGAGCCTACGAAAGATGACACCTGTAGAGCCTACAGCAAGGACACCACACAGGATGAAACCCCAAAGATCAATCCGGTTAATCAGATATACGATTAATTAGATAGCGCTATTATTCAAAATTTAAATGGCGCTATCATTCAATTTGAAATTCAAATATCATTCAATTTGAAATTCAAATTGAAGACGAAGCATTCCTATCACCTGATGGCCCTCCATAAATATTAGGACCATCACACAAGACTGGGAAGGAGAAAATCAAAAGGAAAAAGATCAGAGAGAGAGAGAGAAAGAAATTGAGAGCTAAAGAAGTCGTTACAAAAAAGAAGAAGAGAAGCCTAGAGAACTGAAGAGCCTACGCTAATGGCGATGAATAGGTAAAGGGTTCCAAACCCAAGAATTGTATTTTTGTATTCGAGGGTTCAAAACCCATAATAATTTCAATAAAATATTTCTTTTTTTTTTTAAATTGTCTTTTGTTGTTTATTTTGTTCTTCATTAATCGGAGGTTTCATTTGTATAAAATGTGTAATTAACAATCTGAAATACAGATCGAAAATAAGAACCTGCTATTCAAATAATCAACACTGTTTAGTCAAAAAAACTAAACAGTGGACATTTGTAACATAAAATTTTGAAATGTGTTGAAACACTTCATGTTTTAAAATTTGTGTTTACAAATTCTGGCACGCCCAGTGGGACATATTTTTCCTTCCATCTTTTGAAGAACAAAAAAATATATATATAGTCGAAACTTACTGACGTATTCTTTTGTTATAGGAATGCTGAAGCAACTGTCAAGCGACAAACCTACACTCCAGTGGTTCTGAAATCACCAAGGGTAGAGATAGCACCTATCACCCAAGGGGCTTCGGAGCGAATGCTCTTGGCTGTCCCAAAGGTAGAACCAGCGAAATCCTGGAAAGATGCACTTCTTTCCCCTATCACCCAAGGGGCTCCGGAGCAAAAGCTCTTGGCTGTCCCGAAGGTAACTGGTGTGACGAAGAAAATCACACTTCTCCAGAAAGTTGAAAGTTTGAGAAAGATTAACGAAGATTATGTGAAATCGTCAAAGAAGTATGCAACCGTGAGGGCCATAACCCGAACGAAGAGCTTTCTAATTCAGGCAAAGGAGGCTAATCAGTTCGCAATTACGACTTTTGTTGCAGCTTCAACGGGGGAAACAAAAAATGTTGTGGCCCAACTACTCAAAAAGGTAAAAGACTCCATTAAAATGGTGGAGCCTGCCCAGAAGAAAGCCTCTGCTGAAAACATGGCCATCATTAGGGCCATTGGGAGGAGGGTAATGACCCAAACTCCTGTTGATGGAAAAAAGGCCCCTGTTGTTGAAAAAACAGTTGCGGCCTACAAACCGATAGTTCTGTTCAGAGCACAAAATCGGTCAAACCAAATCTCAGTCAACTCTCAAGAGCCAAATGAACACTCATTGGCTCGACAGGGTTCGAATGAGAAACACCCGTTGGCCCGACAGAATAAGGAACACCCGTTGGCCCGACAAGGTTCGAATAAGGAACACCTGTTGGCCCAACGGGATTTGAATCAACATCAATTGATCCACTCTAAAAATGTAGGGACTGTTTTGAAAATTCATGAGGAGTTTGCAAAAAAGCAAACGATTCCTTCTATGCCCCTAGGGGCTCAACTTGATATGTCATCCGGTCTAGTTTCGAAAAGACAAAGGCGAAAGAAGAAATGAGGCCTTAAAGAAACTGGAACTAAGAACAGTGGCAACAAATGTTATAGGAGCTATTGAAAGGGCTCTCTCGAAAGATGAACCCCAAAAACAAATTGAAAGTCCTGTCTTTGTTGGAAAATCCAAGGTGGCGGAGGGTAAGCAACCCTTGGAAAATATTTCTGCTTTGGTTGAACTATCTATGGAGGGAATAAGAAAAGGGCCTGTAACAAGGTCCATAACCCGTCAGGCTCAAAACAAAGCATCGCAATCAAATGCTTCAAATATAAGTAATGCGGTGGGGGTTGATAATCCTTTATACGAACAAGATGATTCTATCTCGTTTGTTTCAACGAGTATTGGAAACAATGAATTGAAAGATATCAACAAAGTCGCAGTTATGATGACTGAGGTTGAGAAAGAAGGTGAAAATTCGCAGGTCCAACAAGACCAAGGTCTCAAGGAAAAAGTGGTGGCCCTACAAGAACAACTCAAGAGAAGAGAACGGGAAATGGCTGCTATGTTGGAGCAAATGCAACAGTTGCAGGCCCAAATGACAGGACCAGGAAGTGCACCCAAACAAATGACACAACCTGTTGTGGGGACATCCGTAGGCATACAAAGCACACTAGCCCCAGGGGGCAATGGTCCTTGTTACTCTGATCTAACGAGTGGTGGTATGAATCCAATGCTCATGGCCATGATTGATGATATGGTGAGGAGACAAATAAAGAAAGTCAAAGAAAAAGATGATGAGAACTTTCGAATAATTACAAAACCTTACCCAGCATGGGTAGATGCTGTTCCATTCCCTTCTGGTTTTTCCCAACCAGATTTCAAAATGTTTGATAGAACAGGAGATCCAAGACAACATGTGGCTCATTTTCTTTCAAGGTGCGGGCCAATAGCCCATAATGAGGCCCTGTGTCTGCAGCTATTTGTTCAATCACTTGAAAGTTCTGCGTTTACTTGGTATGCTAACCTTCCTGAGGGATCAATCCTAAATTGGGATTCCATGGTGAAGGAGTTCCTTAAACAGTTCTGCAACACACAAAGGCGAGTTGGAGTACCAGAACTGATTGAGACCAAGCAACGTGACAATGAGTCTGTTACAGATTTCATTGCAAGATGGCGCGCTTTGACATTTGCTTGCCCTCAAAAGTTTACACAATTAGAGTTAATTCGGATGTGCCTTAACAACTTCCGACATGAGCTCTCTATGGCTCTTATGGCTCAAACTTTTGAAGGATTCAATGATCTATGCACTAAAGCTCATGATATGGAGCTGCATC